ATAACACAAGCCGGTAAATGATCACCCATGATTGCTTTTATTTTCACAAAGAAATTATCGTATGTTTAGCTGTACAAAAATAATAAAAGTAAAAATTATTGGAATTTGGGTGCGGCGACTTGACAACTTGAGTCAACCATAGATAAATAAATATGTAGCAAGCTAGTGTCAACCCATAAACGATATTATGTAGAAGACTAGGGATGTTCGATGATCATCGATGTTAGAAATTAAAACATCGATGTTTTAACATCGATGTTGCCACATGCTAAACATCGTAACATCGATGATACCATACGTCAAACATCGAAACATCGATGTCAATGAGCTAATAATTGATTAATAAGAACTTGTGAACAATGCGAACCCGCGAAATCAATATCAACTAAATATTTCATCTCCTATTAAAGGTTTAAAATTTTGAATAATTTAGGATTCTTAAAGGCATCAATCACCTGAAAAATATCATTATGGGTTAAGAATGGGCGAGTTAACCGTCAAATGCCTTTTGTATGCCGATGATCAAGTCATATTTGCGTCATCTGCGTCTGAGTTGCATATGATGGTTACATTAATGAACTGGGAATTAAAAGAAAGGGGAATGAAAGTGAACGCAAGTAAGACGAAAGTGATGGTTTTTGAAAGAGAAGAAAGCAAAACGGTATGTGAAATAAGAATAGAAGGAGAGTTAATTGAGCAAGTGGATGAGTTTGTGTATTTGGGATGTGTATTTAGCAGGGATGGTAGATATGATAGGGATACAGAACGACGAGTAAATGCAAGGAATAGAGTGAATGGGGCACTACACTCTATTATGAAGAACCAGAATGTGTCAAAAAAGGCACGTATGGTAATTCATAATGCTGTGTTAGTCCCTACTTTAATGTATGGTAGTGAAAGCTGGGTATGGCAGAAGAAGCACGAAAGTAGAATAAATGCTGTAGAAATGCGGTCTTTAAGGAGTATGCTAGGGTTGAATCTGAATGACAGGGTGAGAAATTGCGTGATAAGAGATAAATGTGGTATGCAAGATGATGTTGTGACCAGGATTAAGAAAGGAATGCTTCGGTGGTTTGATCATGTAGAAAGAATGAATGAGGAAAGAGTGACAAAGCAAATTTATATGGCAGATGTGAACGGCAGAGTCGTGAAGGGACGCCCTAGAAAAAAGTTTATCGACCAAATTGGCGATATTTTGAAAAGGGGCCACGTTAGAAGTACCCTTAACCAACGAGCATGTATGCGTAGATATATGGATGTAAAGGAGGCGAAAGAGGTATGTCAGGATCGTGCCAAATGGAAGTCCGTAGTCTCTGCCTACCCCTGTGGGTGACAGGCGTGAGTGTTTATGTATATAATCTACTAGAAACTAACAAACACGGCTATTTGTATGTATATAACATACAAATTGTTATTTAAATGTATCTTACTTGGTACGCCTAAGAGTGTTAGCCTATTAGTCTAATAGTATGACCGCTGAAAAGGAGAGGAAAGTATATTATGTTGAACTACCCCAAATCACATTATTTCCAGATAACACCTGTAGGCCATATTTTTCATACATGCTGACAGCTAGCTAGTCATTCACATTCATCTGATAATTTGCAAAGAAGAACAGTTGGCCATCAAAGTGTATGTGTTGTATGCGGACGATCTATACTAAGAATTATTCGACGGAGGATTTTGATTGAAGGCGCAAATGAAGAAGAACAAAGAATGGCTAATACAGTTTCTACTTGGATCCACCCACGAGAGGTATACATACTATAACTATTATTAATTTTCTTTATTTAATTTAAACTAAGAAATAAAATAATATTAATTATTTCCCACTATTACTATGCATGTTTGAATGCAAGCTTTTCTTTATTTATATTTTTTGTTTTAGCTTCGTTCTGAAGATGAAGCTTGTGTGACATGTTCGCTAAGAGCTAGAAGAACTAGGACTGCTCCACCAGTAGAACATATACAACCCCCTTCACCTGATCACGTGGATGGTGATCATTCTCTTTTAACGTGTACTCTATATGGTCAAATTGTGTCCACCACATCAGATGAAGAGTAGAATCTCGACAACACTGCCCGTTTGTTGGAATACCAGCAGGTATATATCAGATAATATATCTATAGTAACTAGCTTTAGTTATTTATTTATTTCATTTACATGTAGTTTTGTGTAACACATTACAGCACGTGCACTCAGCAATGGTATAACAACACGAAATAAAGCTAACTCTAATGTGTTAACTCTAATACTAATATTTATATATTTTTTTTCTCTCTCTTTTAGGTAATGTATTTATTATATAGTTTAACGTGGGTTTAAGGTGGGTTCTACTAACAACAAAGAGCTCTTTTCCTCTACAACTTATTCACACAACATATATACGATATAGCTATTTGGCAAAGGTTTTCTGTAAGGTGAAGGCAACCAATTATTGTATCTCAAGAACCATTCTCCAGCTTGGGTTGCTCAAATTCATAAGGAATCTAGCTATGTCATACCCATTATCTTGTTTGTGTTTCTTTCATGCTTAAAAATGTTGGGAACAATTTATGTCTATACGAACTTAGTGTTTAATTTGTATTTTATCAATGCTATTTTTACACCTATGGCCATCTCATGAAATAAATTACTTACAAATGTCATCCATGAATGAAGTTTGTGAAGTTTGCACATATTATTAGTATTATTTGGTACCTACGCCATGCTCGCCATGAGGGTATTATCCGGCCTGCCCCCTTCTTAGATGAAGCTTTATTAAAGAATTCATTATAGGTACAATAAAATAAATTCATTTAAAAAACAAAATATTTTTTATTTACCCACACTCAAACCCCATCAGAACTTCATCATTATCAAATTGTTGCAGTCCGCTGCTGAATATAGGTATCTCCTAATTTACAACGCTGAGTAGATACGGATCCTCATCTCAATCTACCTACTTAATGGTAGAACCACGTTGTAGCTATAATATAGTTGTAGCACGAATGAGTCTCCTCAACCTGGGAAGAACCACGCTCTCACAGAATACCGGTGTAAAATAGCAGCTTAATACTGCTGTGTTTCGTATGGTGAGTGTAGAGATCCGGAAAACCTTTTTTACTGGAAACGAGACAGTCGATCCTAGTCCTCAGACGTGACAACGCATCTGAATTTTGATTCTAAATCGAGGATAAATGTAGATGTCTATGGGCCACAGCATCCACTAACCATCAGGTGGACTATCTGTTCGATTGTCACCTTTATTCAATAAAAAAAATGGTTAATAAAGCACTACAGAGTAGCGAAAAGTAATATAGAATATTTACTTTATAACAAAAATAATGTTTATTTGCCTATATGTAACGATCTACATAGGTATACTAGGAAAGGTTTTGGCCGTCGACAGATTGTCGCTCCTGTTTTGTTGCTTAAATAAGGTTTGAAGTAGATTTTGTTTCGTAAAATTGATGCGATTTTGTGAATTGTCTGCGCGTGTGAACTATTAGAGAAAACGACGAAACAAGTGGTTTGATGTTGATATAATCTCCCAAAAACTGTGACGCAAAAAGTGACGCATCAGCATATTATGATGGAAAAAATATATGAAAACGAAGATTATGAAAGAAATGATAGGCTCAGAAGGGCTAGAACCTAAAGCCACTAGTGCATATTATATATTAGTCTATGGTCTATGTAGATAATCCTAAAAATTAAAACTGGTTATAACTTTTATATCCCAAGTTCTAAATATCTAAGAATTTAAAAGGGGTTAGTCTATCCTACTAACTACCAATTAAAACCAAAAATACCCCAAAACACGAAGTTTTACTAGCGGTACGACACTCCCATACAAGTCTGCCATTTCAGAATCAATATGTAGAAAACCGAATAATAATTAATGTAAACCAAGAACATAACAACAACAGCTCACTAGTTGTGTAGTAAAAGTGAATAAATAAATTGGGTTTTAAGTTATCTGTATCTAATTTACTCTGTTATTAATCCAGATAAAACTGTAAATGATTGCCAACTTTGCCAACTGATTTTTCTTAAGAATCGAATATTATGTAGGTACAGACTTTTCAATTGGAACATGGAGTTTTGAGGGAAGGAGAACCAACTGAAATGGGAGAATAGTTGAAAAAGAGCCCATTTGTAAGCAGTAAATAACAGTTCAAAAGCTCTCTACAACAGCGCTGGAGTAGCTAGAAGGTATGACATGAACTTAACAGTTGTTGACAGAGAGAAATGTGCTGAGTTGAGGAATTTAATATTAGTGGTGACTAAAGTAATAATTTAGTAAATAAAACGTAGAAAAAGTCGCCGTAAATTTTCAGATTTTGAAAAAAAAAGTATTTGAAAACAATAAAACAGATGATTAGGAGATCTTAGCTTTTTTTTAACATTATTATCCTCCATCTGTGGTCTTGTCTTAGTTATCCTTCCAGATACTTTAGCATTTTTTCTATTTTGATTAATATTTTTACCTCTATACGTGCAACTCAGCTGTCCTCCATCTTTTTTTGTTTATTCTTAAGCTGTTTTTTAGTGTTTTTCTTTGCCTTCTCTTTAGCAATCAAATAAGTCTTTATAGTTCATAAAAGATAGCTTGATCTCTGCGACAGCTGTCAGTAAAATCATGCCTATGAAGTCCTGAATTTCTTAGTATACCAGTTCCTGTCAATGTCATACTTTATGGGCATGCCGACCTAATTAGGTCGGCATGCCCATAAAGTATGACATTGACAGGTACTGTCTGTACTACTAAGAAATTCAGGACTTCATAGGCGTGATTTTTACTGACAGCTGTCGCAGAGATCAAGCTATCTTTTATGAACCATAGTAATTTTCTGACCTATATAATTAAGCGCCTTTCGTCTAGTTATCTTTGATTTTTCCAAAATTTGGTGTTGTAATTTGCTTATGGAACGGTGATTTAGAGGCTAAAGGATCATGAACGTTCTTTAACTTTAGTAGCGGTAAATTATCTTTTGAATCCTCAGATTGAATTTGCTCAGAGATTGGTACAAGTTCTGTGAATTTTGGGTTTAAATTTTCTTTCGTTTGAATCGGAAGACGAAGTGTAAATAACAATAAGTTTTGAGGGATATTGAAAATTCTTTAAAAAAGTAGTAATTTCTTCTTCTTCAGAACTATCAGATGTAATAGAATTCAACCTTGGACGAGGCTGTATATTACTAGTTCCCGACGTAGTTGGAACAGGTGAAGAATATCTAAAATTTATGTCTAGAAAAGTTTGCATATGAAGTTGTTCTTGCAAGTCGTCCATATAGGATTCTAAAGAACTATAATCAACTAGCTTTGTAATATGATTTGAAGATTGCGGATTTTGTACATTTCTTTGTTCTATGACGCCTGTCCATTCATTGGCAGCATTTTGAGTTAGAATCGATGGTGATAAATTTTTAAGATTTTCTTCACAATCAGTGACATCTGTATCAGACATATTATCATGTCTTGGGGATAAAAGAGAACTTCGAAGAATAGAAGTCCATGATGTTGACATAATATCAGAAGTGGAATCATTCATAGTTGAAACATTTTGTTCTATATCATGTGGATCGGGCAATTGCGTTGGCGCTGAAGGCGCATACGTTTCCTCAGGAATTGCATTTGGATCATACGGAAAAAGACCGGTCACAAGAAACCCATTAATTATATTTTCTTTGGTTGTACACTTGGACCAAACCTTCGTAAAAATTTTGCTAAAACGCGTTTTTGTAAGTTTTCTAGTTTTGTCAGTTTTCGTCCCAGAAATGTTCGTAAGATTTATTAACTGATTTGTCAAGGGGTTGCAATTCATGTGTAGTATTGGATGGTAAACAATAAAGCACAATGTCATGAGCATCAGCAGTATCTACAATTCGAGCATCCAAGTGTAAAGAAGCCCCGTCAAAAATTAACAAACATTTTCCTTGAGATTTAAATTGACCCAGGTGGTTAATAAATTGAACAAATAGTTCGGTCGTCATGCTTCCCTTCGTGGCCATCTTTACTAAAGTTCCGGGAGGCATATAATCGCAAAATTCTGGTCGTAATATTTTGCCCTTAAAAATAACCATTGGTGGCACAGTATTTCCTGTTGCATTCACGCACATAGCAATTGTTATATTTTCTGCGTGTTCTTGGGCAACGACGTGCACCCATTTGGTCCCTTCTGCAGCAAATACTTTGTGTTGGTGGTGGATTGTTAATCTGTACCCCTTTTCATCCATATTATAAAGACGCTCCGGATGACTACAAATATTCAAATCTTCATAAATGGCTTTGATGGCATTAAAATGTTGTTGCACAATATACTTATTGAGTTTCTGTGCTCTTGCCGGATTAATTAGTTGAGCCCTGCAAAGCGAAATTTCTGGATTTCATTTGGCAAAAATTTTCAGCCATTTTTTTCCAGCGCTATATTTTTATCATTAAAAGAATTTGTATACTATTTGCCTTAAAAAATTCATAAGCTTGTTTACGAACTACTTTGGAAGTCAAAGGCAGACCGACCTGAGCAAGTCTAATCACCCTTTTACACAAATCTTTTTCTTGTGTTTTATTAAGAACTGGAGTGCGACCAATTATCTTTTTTGTAGATCCAGATTTAATATGATTTCGTAATGACGCCTTGGTATGTTAACGTTGCAGCTGTTTTCGTTGTGACATCTTTCCTTTTTGTACCGCTTCAAGGGCCGCTTTTAGTTGACTTTCTGTCCACTTCCTACGCTTTTTTTATTTTATGACTCCATTTGTACCTATGTAAAAAAATTAAAACTTTAGAATTGCATATTATTTATGTAATCTACTTTAATGATATTTTTTTTTGTAAACATTTGATCATTGCATTTAATTTAAAAAGTAAGCGTTAGAAAATTATCAGCCTCCGTCACTTTAGGTCGTAGGCCTCGTAGAAAATATTTAATGTCAAAATTCTTACCAAACAAGTTAATTTATAACCAATAATTTAGTATATAAATAATGTATATAATACTTAATTTGAATCAAAACTAATAATATACTTTTAATAGTCCTAAGTATGCCCGGGCCATGTTTGGTACACATTTAGTGGGGTTTCATAGGAAACATTACCCCAGTTCAATACAATTGCAATAAAATACTAAAAAGTTATAAAGCAATAAAACTTACCTTTTATTTGATGGCAAACAAGTTAATTGTGAAGTTTCTCTCGTTAACACAAAGTTAAAATTCTTATTTTTGATAACCTTTGTAAAAAGCTACTCTTCGGATGTTAGAAAACGTATAGCGATTTGACACTACTGAGCAAACTTTTTGTCACACTCAAATGGCGGGGCGCTGACAGTCGGACGTAGTTGCAATTTTGTCTTTGGCTGCCCGTCGCATGTTGCCCGCAAAATTTTAAATAGTTTTGACAACCAAAACTGTTATATTTTAAAAGTGGGCGATAATAGGAGCTGGTCCTTCTTCGGTCACACTACCTTAGAGAGAGAATCTTACGTAAGAAGAGGGAGGAGTTGGGGTCGAGAAATCTTTGTACATGTGGCGGCGCTGTCGTCGCGTCGCAAGTGAAACACACCGAAGCCAAAATCACGCTGTCAATGTTCCCAATCATAAACAGTATATATAGAACATCTCCGAACTATCTCATGGAGTGCTGGCCGCTCCCCGGGCAGAACACCTTGCCCGGAGGGAGATCTCCCCTTTTCCTTCCACGCCGCTACAGTGGTGACCCCGACGTGATCTGAACAAGCAACAGAAAATATCCTTCAGTACTTCAAGCTTCATCATTGTATTCGCTCCCGAGCAGATATTGTCTGCAGTCTTCATATCCTGCAAGCCATCTAGCTTCACAAGGTTCATCGCAGCACTGGAATAATAATGCTTCCTGTTTCTTCAAGCTACTCTCTGCGCTATACAGTGTTCGGCGCGGCTCTGAGCCTTACTGCTCGCCTCTGCTTCATGGCACTCTCGCAGATTACTTGCCTTCTTCTCGACTCACCGCAGACTACAAGGCAATCTCCTGGCACTTGCACATTCGTCGGCAACGAGGCTGCACTATCGACCTCCGGTCTGAGCAGGGGGGTGATGTGGCGGCGCTGTCGTCGCGTCGTAAGTGAAACACACCGAAGCCTAAATCACGCTATGAATATTCAGAATCATGAACAGTATATATAGAACATCTCCGAACTATCACATGGAGTGTTGGCCGCTCCCCGGGCAGAACACCTTGCCCGGAGGGAGATCTCCCCTTTTCCTTCCACACCGCTACATACCCTTATATGGGAGTGGGCGGAGTCAAAAATCACTAAAATCATCTATACCCACGTAATTAATGAATGTCCCCTTAAGTTTTTTTTTTATTTATTTATCATATGAACAAGCATTACACATATTTGTAGTGATAGCATTTAAAAAAAACCACTAAGGTTTATACTTAAGCTATCGAGAGATTACAATTTTATAAAATAATATAGCGTTATGTTGTATTGCAGATACTATAAAAAGGAAAAACAAACAAAAAACATGAAATAAAGATGCAAACAATCAAAAAAAAAATGACAAAATACGTTATAATAATTTAAGAAAGTGACCCTTTAGTTTACACCTAATGTTATTTTTAGTGATATTGTCCACTATTTCTGATGGTAAGTTGTTGATAAGCCGAGGTATTAAGTAGCTACATGTTCTCTTACCGTACGCATTGCTAGCACGCGGCTCGTTGAGACGGTTTTTAGAAATTGCTCGAGTGTTTACAGAATGCTCAATCGGGATTTTTAGCGATTCATTAAAAAATTGTTCTTTTAATAAAATATTTTGTACTTGTATATGTAGTGGTAAAATTTTACAATGTTTAAAGAGACCATTAACGTCATCCCTGAATTTATTTTTTATTTTATTTGGAACTATAGTATTGAGTATTCTTACTTGTAAACTCTGGATCTGGTCAAGATATGTTTTGTAAGTTCGGCCGTAGCTACTTAGCCCGTATTGAATGTGCGACTCCGCAAGTGCATTATATAACATTAACTTTATTTTAAAAGGAATGCGATTATTGAGAATAGTGATATTTGCTAAAAACTGTCTTAGTTTAGTACATACACGGTCAATATGCTGGCTCCAATTTAATTTACTGTCAATAACTAGTCCGAGATACGTTTGTGTGTCAACTATCTCAATTGCTGGGCAGCAGCATTCAGCAGCGCGGTTATTATGTAAGCAGATGTGGTTGTGTGCAACCATTTTTTTTATTGAAGCGGGTTTTTGGTATGGAGATTTAATTACTAACAACTTACTTTTACTATCATTAAGGACAAGCCCAGCATCATGGCACCACCTTGATAGGATATCTAGGTCAGACTGCAAAAGGTCACATGCCTTTTGTGGATTTTTATCACCGATTACAAGACAAGTGTCATCTGCAAACTGGTAGCATGTGCAATTGACGATGTAGTTGCCCATGTCATTGACGTAGGACAAAAAGTGCAAGGGTCCTAGTACCGAACGTTGTGCTGTTCCCTCTGTTATCAACATCGGCTCGCTGTAGTTATTTTCAATTTTCATAAACGATTTTCGGTTCTTCAAGAAATTATGGCACCAAATAAGTAAGGGGCCACGTATACCACATTTGTCTAATCTGTCCACTAGCTGTTCATGTAACAAAGTGTCAAAAGCACGTGAGAAGTCGATAAATAGGGCAAGCACCTGTCTTTTTTCATTTAGATGACTATTCACTTCATCAGTAAATTTTGATAAGAGTCCTGTTGTACTTTTTCCTGATTGAAAACCAAACTGATACGGGCTTATTACTGTGTTATTCTATATTCTCTTCTATTAAATTTTCAACAATTTTATCGATTGATGAAAGTAATGTAATTGGGCGATAGTTCGAGTAGTCATCACGTTTTCCTTTCTTATGTACGGGTCTGACACAGCCTTCTTTCAATTTATCAGGATACATACCACTTTTAATGCTACTGTTACTTAGGTCAGAGATAGTTGGGGAAATATGTTCGCCTATCATTTTAATGTCAGCAATCGCAATATTTTCAGCACCTGGTGCCTTTCTTGAGTTAAGATTTTTAATAATTTTATGTATACTACAGGGGGTCGCTTTCCGAAAAAATATACTGGAGTCTAAGATTTTATTTGTATTGTTTTGGTTGATTAATTTTATTTTACAATTAGGAACTATACTTTTTACCGCCATGTCAAAGCTATTTGCGAAGTTATCTGCAATAGTTTTGGAGGTAAGTCCCTGTGCATCGAACGCTTTTAGTACAGCCGCATCAATAGACAAGTTCATTCTCCCTAACATTTGGTTAACAATATAATTTTTTTAATATTCTTAAAATTACTATTTATTTGCTTAGTATAATATATGTTCTTTTTGGCTTCGAGAACTTTATGGACTTTATTGCGTATTTTATTATATTCTAGTCTAAGCTTAGAGTTATCTGGATTATTTCTCCAATTATGGTATAATTTGTCCCTTTTATTACAAAGACGAGTAATATCAATCCAGGGTAAATTAAACCGCTTGGGGATCTTTCTAAGTAGATTGTAGGTTTTAATATTATTTGCGGAATTTTTTGCCGTTTGAAAAGAGCTATATATAAAATCTATATCAAGTCTACCGCATATGCCACTTCTGCTAGCTATTTTTTTATATACGTTGATTTTCGATTGACTTTTTGATTATTAATGGTTGTAAATATTAGGTCCTTATATGAAATTGGCATTTTGTACGGGAGTCCAGTACAAAACGCCAATTTCATATGCAATGCAATAGTTGCCTTTATATTAGTGAGGCCCCTAGCTACCCGTATTATGAATCCTAAATTTCTGTAGGATTCCTTACAGATTTTCGTAATATGCTCTCGAAATTCTATTTTAGAGGAGAAATTAACCCCTAGATCTTTGACATCTGACACTTTCGCTATTGGTACCCCGTTAATTTGATATTGGTACGTAACTGGAGATAGTACACGGCTGAAAGTCATGCACTTCGAGATGTTAAATTGTAAATTATTATGTTTGCTCCAGGTTACCACCCTATCTATATCTTGTTGCTTTTTAACATATGGCAATCTTCTCTGTTCCTAACAGCAAGATACAGTTTCAGGTCATCTGCAAATAGAGTGCAATGAGCATCTTTGACAACGTCGGAAAGTATTTATTATCAATATGAATTGCAATGGACCGAGATTGCTGCCCTGACTTACTCTGGACCTAGTAAAATAGTTTTAGACCTACACTCCGCATATTCTGCATATGCTGTCTGGCCCGCATATAACTAGCAAAAAATTTTAGTAAATGGGGAGTAAATCCTACACCTGCCAGTTTTGTGAGCAGTATGTCATTATCAATTAGGTCGAAAGCTTTTTTGTAATCAAAGAAAGCTACATCGACCTGTCCTCCAGCATCCACTTCAGGTACAATATAATTCACATAACTAATTAGGTTGCTGGTGGCGCTCCTGTCGGGTCTCAAACGGTGTTGCTCACCTGAAAGATGTACATTAACCTGCAAGAGGATGCTCTTGTGTACTGCAACCTCCAGTACTTTAGCTGGTGTCGAAAGCACAGCAAACGGCCTTTATTGGTCCGCATCCGTTTGATGATGACTTTATTTTGGGTACTGGGACGACCTTAGTTGGAACCATCTTTCTAAAGGTTTTAAAAGGTTTAAAATAAATCGGTAGCAATACTTTATAAGGCAAATAAGAATCGTTTTTATTATGACCAGTTTCAAATGACATATTTACATAATATACATCACAGGAATGTGTCTGCAACAATGAACATATTCATAAAATTCTAGAAATACTAAATAGATTTTTTTTAACAAAAAATTTATAATTTTGCCCTTTTTTATAATAACTACATATAAACATATAAAATATCCCTACTTATATTGAACAATTCAATTTAACATAATCGAGGTGTTGATTTAAAATATTATATTCATTGTCACACATTATTCCTGAAAGTGTAAATTAGGGGTATTTTACATGTCCTAAAACTACTAAAAGGTACATTATCAGTGCTATTATTATAAAAAAGTAACTGATCAAAAGCCTACATTAAACTACATATAAATATAATAATTAATTTACAAAAATAAACAATTTTATACTGAAAATATTTATTCTCAATTTTGTATAATTAATTCAATCACTAAATCTATGGTTTATTAAACATCTAAATAAAAACATAAATAAACTGGTTTTTGTTAGAATTAAAAATATATTGATAAACAAATGGAATAGGTACGTAAGAGATAAAAATTTTAAAAAATATTTTTTTTTTCGTAAATCAAAACGTTTTATGTTAAAAAATGTAGGTATTCAATATAAGAACAAACAGAATACGTATGCTAATACCATAGAATACTATAATACACAATACAATGGCTGTCAACCTTATTTTGTACGAGGATCGGCGTCGTCGGGAGCACACAAGAAATTACGTCGTATTATCACTACTACAAACCCGATTCGCTATGTTGTCAGACTGAGTAAATTTACAAATTTTAAATGATAAATGTTCAAGATCATCATTAAAAAGTAAAAAGTTTAAATTTTAATTCATATTTATTGGTAAATAGTGTGCAATTTCGCATTTGAAATAGTAAAATTTGCATGCAGCGACGCTTGACACGAAAATTGGAAACGATTGTAACGTCAAAAGAGATGTGTTGACATTTATATGTGTGAATTGGCATGTTAGTGGCTATACGGGCTCCACCCACTCGCCCGTTCTATTATGTATGTATTTATAGTATTCTATGGCTAATACTAACTTTATATGTGATTTTTAAGGCAAAAGCAATCCATACAAATGCAGAAAGTTTTATTATGCTGTTGCAACTTTTTTAATTATATTTAAAGGCATTTATATTTAAACACCAAATTCAAAAAATACTAATATTATCTTACTTTCAGACTTATATTTAATCAGATACATATAACCACAACTTTGCTTATTATAAAAAAAACAGCTTTCAGATAGTCAGTCAATCCACAATGGCATTTTTAGATCTCTCACCACATAGCATAATCAGAATCATCCATGTCAAAAATGGTGAAGAAACCTAGTATGGTCAAATAAACTATGACATTGCCTGCTAGAGTCAGGTAGCATGCACCCCACATTATCTGAAACAATATTGATCTTATTTTGACTATTTATGTCAGTATTTCATACATAAGAATATAAATGGTCCATTGCAGGACATGGGTCTCTCTCCCTTTGTAAAGAGTTTGTTTTAATATTCAATAGAAATTTCTCTAATATCGAGAAGACAAAAATTAAATATGGACCAACACCCACAACCGGAACAATTATAGACCTACCTAGTAATAAATACATGTTCCGAACTAGGATCACACATTCGAACTCAAAAATTTACGTAGTGTTGTTAAAAAAGGTAAGCATTATAGCGCAATAAAATTCTAGACATGGAAACCCATTTTAAGACAACATGGTGTGTAATCTGTTTAATTATTTTTCAAAGGCCTTAATATATTTTTGTAATAGACTGTTACATGGATTACTATTATAATATTGTTTTTTTCTATCAAATCTTTTTTAACCAAATTTAAAAAGGCGATTATCGATTCGACTGTATGTGTTTTTGTAATGTATGTTATGCTATATCTTCGTCAATTATGAACCAATTTTCATAATTAAAAGTAAAAAATAAGTTACACTTCATACTTTGGACTTAATGGATAGACATGCTAAGGGGCTTATTGGTAACCTTGATTTGGTTGAAACCTAGAAATCTTGTCTGCCTCGAGCACAGGTAGAGTAGCCTGCCTCAGTATTCTATAGGATGCATTTCGGAGTGTGTATGCAAGAATCACCTGCTTTAATTCCTTCTTGCCTTTCCACCATCAGATAATTAGGCAGTCGGTGGGTCTTCACCCCATTGTTGTCGATATTCCACGCATCCGAACCAAACGGATTGCTTCGTTGTTCGTAATACATACAGCAAAAGAGTGGAATCATTTGTCAGCGTCTGTCTTTTCATTTGACGTGGTAGATCTATGCTGCAGTTATATTAGTAGTATAGTTGTAGCACGAATGGGTCGGCTCAACCGGGGAAGCACCATGCTCTCGCAGAATACCAACGTCAAATAGTAGCTTAATGCTGCTGTGTTTCGTATGGTGAGTATAGAGAACCGGAAACCCTTTTTAGTGGAAACGAGGCATTCCACCTAAGTCCTCACGGGTGTCAACGCATCTGCATTTTGATTCGCAATCGAGGCTATCCTCGAGGCGATCTGCGTCTATATGCAGATGTCTATGGGCCACAGCGACCACTTACCATCAGGTGGACTGTGTGCTATTTTTTCACCGTATCCTATAAAAAATTTTTTGAATACAATCTGGGTGTCTTAAAGGCAAGAGTGAATAGGGTTTTGTTACGTTAAGACAGTGCTATTTGCTATCTAGGGGTTTACACTTGCCATCTGGTGGTATTGTAGTCAAGCACTGGCATCTAAGAAGTAAAAAAAATGGGAGATCCAATATAAATTTTACGTGGTAGAGCCACGCTGCAGCTATATTATGGTTGTAGCGGGAATGGGTCGGCCCAACTGAGGTTACCACATACTGCATGGTAGGACCACGCTCTCACAGAATACCAGCATAAAAAGCAGCTTGAAGCTGCTATGTTTAGTATGGTAAGTGTAGAGAACCGGAGACCCTTTTTACTGGAAACGAGACATTCCTTCTAGTCCTCAGGAGTGACAACACATCTGCATTTTAAATCTTAATCGAGAACAAATTTAGGTCTCAGGCCTTAGCATCCACTTACCATCAGGTGGATTGTGTACATGTTTGTCACCCAAATTCAATAAAAAAATTGGAAAATAAATTCCACCCAATTTAGTTTATTCCAGTTATAATGGAACTATTTAAACGACTTTGAGAATGTGTGTGATATTTCTTAGTCCATTCAAAAATGGTAAAAACTGAACTTTTATATGCATAAATATTTAATAATTATATCACTAAAGTAATTTCACTTTCTGAAGTCGGATCCTTATTTCTTCTATATACTATGGCCTAGCAGCCCAAACAGGCTGGCAAGCAACCAAAATTCAAAATGGGAACACTGGAAAATATCTCCCCTATAATGGTATTCATTTAGTAAGTTTTCTTAAGTCAAATTATATCTTCTACATAACATTTTACATGTGAATATTATGAACAATGAGTAAAAGGATATACATACCCCTCCAGCTCGAGCTAGCACTATAGGTAGTGCAAATGAACTAACAAGAATGCCCATAGTTATAAAGATTGCGGTCTCCATACCAGTAGAGTTTGTGCCTCCTGTGCTATCTGTGTGACGTCGCGCTATCATCGTTGGAATTGGACACAAAATATAGAAAAGTACTACAAAAAATGGCCACCATACTCTGAAATTAATGAAATACAATTACTTTCAATATGAGGAACTTAAAATTTTACGATGTATCTACATGTAAGATATGTAAAGCATAAAAAAACTGTGAGTTGTAGAACTGCATGTCAGAAGTGAAAACTTCTTAGCTGCACAAACATTCATATGTATATATAACATCTGTGTAACCAGTGTGTTACCAGCGATAACACATTATGGTTAGTGATTTCTCATTTCCTGGTAATCTCACAAACTAAAGTGATGACCTGTTAAGTTATGAATGAAATTCATGGTTACAGAGGGCTAAAGTACCCTATTTTACGGCATTCAGCAATGACTATTCAGTAACCTAACTATTCAGCAATGCGCTTATGAAATCAAATACAATACCTAACGACCCTTAAATTGTTGAATGAAATTCAGGTTTGAAATCCTAATTTGATCAAAAATAGAAAGTGCCTTTATAACCATCCTCTCCTTTGAAGTACACAAATGAAAGGAAACTTACTTGTAAATATAATAAAAATTTAAATAAAAATAAAAAATTTAATTTATTTTTGAAGAGATTATGTAAGTATTTTTCGCATTATTTATCAATATTTTAGACAAATCTTGGATGTCATATCTATCAAATTGGATAAGCAATAGAATGACATGTTGTACTAAATATAAATATTATCATGATCCTTTTAAATTCTTGATGATAAGCATGATTTATAAAATAAGTATATTATATTTCAGTAATTATCCACTTTTTTAAATTTATCATCAGAATAATATTTTTCTATTGACATCTACTTCTTAATATATATAAATTACGTATCACGTTGTTTGTCCGCGATGGACTCCTAAACTACTAAACCGATTTTAATCAAATATGCACACCGTGTGCAGTTTGGTCCAACTTGAGAGATAGGATAGCTTTTTTGCCCATAAGAGACCCCCATTTTTTTTTGCGAATTTAAGGATTTTTAATAGGACATGACAAAGGGTCGTCGAAAAGGGCAGAACAACGTCTGCCTGGCAAGCTAGTATAATATATAATAGGTCCTTACATATGAAATTAGCGTTTTGTACGAGAGGAATATAAAGTCAATTTTTTTTGTAAAATATATTTAATCAAAGTATGCACTCTTGTTGAAATAATACTAATTTTTACGGAATTTATCGCGTATATTTAACTTTTTTACCCGACGTTTCGAGAGCTTTACAGCACCCATGGTCACGGGAAGGACTGAGATGTTCAACGTCCAGCTGTCATAGTTAACCGCGGTTACCATAGATTAAGATTTAACTTTTGTTCCGATCTACACAGTATGAACTTATGGTATCATGGAGTCTTGCAGTTGTATGCTTGGGTTGGGATTTAATTTTATTTATTATAGGATCCCAAGCAGATGGTAGCACCCAGCCATCTTCTCTATTGAAATTAGGATGTTTTTTGATTTCAATAGCCTCGCGAATCATCCTTGGAAGGAATCGGTGTTCTTTAGCGAGGATTTGTGGTCTATCAAATCTGATGTAGTGACAGGGGCGATCCTGTACATGTTCACAGACTCCAGACTTGAACGTGAACATGTACAGGATCGCCCCCGTCACTACATCAGATTTGATAGACCACAAATCCTCGCTAAAGAACACCGATTCCTTCCAAGGATGATTCGCGAGGCTATTGAAATCAAAAAACATCCTAATTTCAATAGAGAAGATGGCTGGGTGCTACCATCTGCTTGGGATCCTATAATAAATAAAATTAAATCCCAACCCAAGCATACAACTGCAAGACTCCATGATACCATAAGTTCATACTGTGTAGATCGGAACAAAAGTTAAATCTTAATCTATGGTAACCGCGGTTAACTATGACAGCTGGACGTTGAACATCTCAGTCCTTCCCGTGACCATGGGTGCTGTAAAGCTCTCGAAACGTCGGGTAAAAAAAGTTAAATATACGCGATAAATTCCGTAAAAATTAGTATTATTTCAATGTGTAGTGTTCGCGTAAATATAAGAAATCATTATGCACTGTTGTTATCTATGTACTTTTGCCATCTCATAGGTAGTTCATTGATCCCTTTACTAAAAAAACCATGGGGGCGAGAATCAATCAACTCTTTGAAGGCGGTTTGGACTGCCGCATTGGAGTTGTATTTTTTTCCTTATAAGAAGTTGTCCAAATTCCGGAAAAAATTATAATCTATTGGAGCAAGGGCCGGGGAGTACGGTTAACGTCGCAGACATTCCAATTGTAGCTCATCTAACTTAGTGGTTGTTTGTTGTGCAGTGTGTGGTCTTGCATTGTCGTGAATCAGCAGTGGCCTAGAGCGATTGAACAATTTTGGTTGTTTAGCAGCTAGTTCTTCCTTCATGGTTTGCAGTTTGGCCAGATTTTAGAAAACTGTAGTAAACGACACCGGTGCTAGTCCACCAAACACTCACAAGTAACTTTTTCGGAGTCAATTTTCAAATAGTGCAGGATTTGGTTGGATCTACAGGGTTCAGCCATTGCGGCGAGCGCTTCCGATTATCGTACAGTATCCACTTTTCATCACAAATAATGATTAAATTTAAAATCCCTTCATTTTTGTGTTGGTGGAGCAAAGTAACACAGCAGTCGACGCATGTTTGCAAGTTCGATTCACTCAATTCATGAGGTACCCTTCGTTCAAGTTTTTTATTTTTCCGATTTTCTTCAAGTGGATTAATACAGTTTTATCACTTACCCTGCAGCTATCTCGTTAAGTGCTTTGTGATGAATCCGCTTCCACAATAGCCTTTCATACTTCATTTTCCACTTTGATCTCCGGCCGTCTACGGGGTTGATTCTGAAGGTCGAAATTTCCAGAACGAAAACGTTGAAACCAAAAACGTACCGAGATTTCTTTTGGGACACCAGCGCCATACACATAATTAATCCTTGAAGCTGTTTCTGCAGCACTGGTGCCACGGTAGAACTCGTACTCGTAAATATACCGATATTTCATGTTTTCCATTGTGCGGTAATAAGCGACGCCAAAGAAAAAAATAATGAAGAAAAAACAAATGAATGTTTTCAAAACTCAAATGTACCAGCTAAACGAATTTATAAATTTGAACTTTAAAATCTTAACCAAAGAGGAGATATTTCAGATCAAAGTGGACAGTATATTTATTGGACCCAATATTGTAATTTAACATTACCTCAATATCTTTAGTCATTACAGAATTTCAAATAATTATGTTAAATACTTTCACAAATTGCTGATGATAAATGGACTCCTAATCTTTAAGTTAATAGTTAAGTATAGTGTTTAACCAATTTTATTGTGGTACACAAAAACCGCTGTTCAGAGACAATCCTTGAGCTTACAACCAAACTCCATAATGTCAAATATTGAGTCTAAACAATACTATGCTACACAAATTTTGACATAGTGAAGTATGAGTTTAAGCTCAAGAATGTCTGATTACAGCTTAAAAGCCTCATATTGACACATCTCATCACTCATTCCTCAAAGCTTGAAAAAAAGTGTGTAGAACCAGTCCCTTTTTGCCAGTGATGACATTTAAGGGGAAGAAAATTTCTGTTGCGAAAGTTGTAGCCTACTTACTAAAGTGTTGAGTGACCCCGCACTAGATGGCGCAACAACCTAGTAAGACATATGGGAAGTCATACAGGAAGTCAATAGATACAGGTGGCTCAGAACCATGTTCTGTGGCATACCTTGAGGTAGTCATTATATTTTCGGCAGTAGGCTTGTGAAGGACTGTAATATTGATGATGATAACGACACAAGCAACAAAATACCACTTACTTTTTGACAACCTTCTAAGGTCGTCAAAACGTATACGTACCTAAAAGAACTAGGTAAGAGGTAACTTTTTACGAAAACACCATTTAATATTTTAATACAAAGAGTATGTTTCAAAATAGAGCCCAGTATACTGGCCATCAAAAATGATGTCATAAATCAACACCATACTGATAATTCGTTATATTGAAGATAGCGTCAATTAATGATGTCATTTGCATTCGCCAGTATACCGGGAACATTTCGGAACATACCTTTAATGTTTTGCTTATGCTTGAGCAATATTATAATCTATTATGTACCTTGATAACTGTAAGTAAGAACTAACAAGAAGTTTCTTTTTTAATAAACTAAGAGTCCTATACCTTTAAACGAGCAATTCTTGTATGTATATATATATAGTGTGTCCGGTCACGGACTAGTGATATTTTAGGTACTTATAATACAGCTATTTTAATATAAAATACACTACACACTGAGGTCTAATCCCCTCCCCCTCTATTTGGCAGCCATTTTGTTTTTCTCTTGAGATATTCTCTACGCGTTTATGAAAAAAGTCATATCTCTCAAAGTTTTAGTCCTACTGAGATAAAAATTAACTCATTCGGAGGCCAATAATATTGTTTATCGTTTACATTATCAAAATTTTTGTTGACATACTTGTAACTTTGAAGAAAAAAAATTTAACTTCAAATAAATATCAAAAAATATGCTAATCGGCAAATTATTGTAAATTACTGCAAAAACAACCCCATTCACCTTTTTTATTTTTATACTAGATCGACAGATTTTGAGTTAAGCTACAATACAACATAAAGTTTACAGCTGTATCTTTATTACTTTAAGAATTATTGTTGTTTGAACATAGCATATGCGCAAACACTAAAGGCCTTTGTTAAATGACAACTGGCACTGCCTGCCTAGAAGTAATAGTAATCTGAGATTACTTATGATCTTCGATGAATTAGAGATGATGAATGAGAGATCAGAGAATCAGAATCATCATTTATAAGTAGTATAATTTAAAAGCAGGCAGCACAGAACACTATTAATCCTAGGCAGGCAGTGACAGTTGTCACTTAACAAAGGCCTTTTGTGTTTGGGCATACGCCATGTTCAAACAACAATAATTCTTAAAGTAATAAACATACATAATAATTTCTTAAATTTACGCGAACACTACACATTGAATAAAACTATTATTTACGGATTTTATCGCGTTTAA